TATCTGCATAAATGCATGGATATACGGGTATATCTGGTTAAAAATGATCGGCGAATATTTTTATAATAGAAAGTCAATGTATCTAACCAATTACTCCTAATGGTTCATATCAGACTAGTGCTAGTTGATGAAAGTTACTTCGGCATCAAGAAAAGTCAATTTTTTTTTCTCAATTCCAATCGAATGCAACTGGATCTAGTATAGTATGAACTGGCGATCAGAACATATATGGATAGAGCTTATACGAGGGTCTCGAAAAGCAAGTAATTTTTTCTGGGCCTGTATCCTTTTTTTAGGTTCACTAGGATTCTTATTGGTTGGAACTTCCAGTTATCTTAGTAGGAATCTGATACCCGGATTTCCATCTCAGCAAATCATTTTTTTTCCACAAGGGATCGTGATGTCTTTCTATGGGATCGCGGGTCTATTCATTAGTTCCTATTTGTGGTGCACAATTTCATGGAATGTAGGTAGTGGTTATGACCGATTCGATAGAAAAGAAGGAATAATGTGTATTTTTCGTTGGGGATTCCCTGGAATAAATCGTCGCATCTTCCTTCGCTTCTTTATGAAAGATATACAATCAATCAGAATGGAGGTTAAAGAGGGTCTTTTTCCTCGTCGTATTCTTTATATGGAAATCAGAGGCCAAGGAACCATTCCCTTGACGCGTACTGATGAGAATTTGACTCCGCGAGAAATTGAGAAAAAAGCTGCCGAATTGGCCTATTTCTTGCGCGTACCAATTGAAGTATTTTGAAATGAACCGAACTAAGTATGAATTCATCAAATATCCGAATATTTTTTTCGTAATACAGAATTCATTCTTTTAGGTTAGGCCTCAGATTTTGAACTGATATCGTTATCGTATTCCTGTACTGTGCTTAGACGGTGCAACATTTCGAAATAATTAATGGAATTAATCCGGGAGGGTTTTTTGTCTTGAAATCCAATTCGTTACTTCAAGTAGATTTTTGGAGTATTTATCGAAAGGAACAAATGCAGATGAAATTCTTTCGAATTTGTCCGATTGAGATATCCGGAAATCTTATTTCCTTTATCTATTTACTTTCATATATATATTTTTGATATATATTTCTAGTTTTTTTTTCATCCGAAAAGGGGCGCTTATTCTATTTCTATATTCCTTCTAGATCTAAGGACTAAATTATTTTAACAAATATACAAAAATGGGAATAGATCCATAGGTTCGATACCTTGTTATAGAACTTGTGCTTTAGAGAAACATCAGATCAAATAGAGTTGATAAATGAAGCAGTTCATTAACAATGCACAAATAAAAAATGAAAAAAAAGAAAGCATTGACTTCCCTCCCATATCTTGCATCTATAGTATTTTTGCCCTGGTCGGTCTCTCTCTCCTTTCAAAAAAGTCTGGAACCTTGGGTTATTAATTGGTGGAATACTAGACAATCCGAAACTTTTTTGAATGATATTCAAGAGAAAAATGTTCTAGAAAAATTCCTAGAATTAGAAGAACTTTTCTTGTTGGACGAAATGATAAAAGAATACCCAGAGACACATATACAAAAGCTTCGTATAGGAATACACAAGGAAACGATACAATTGGTCAAAACACACAATGAGTATCATCTCCATATCATTTTGCATTTTTCGACAAATATAATCTGTTTCGCTATTCTAAGTGGTTATTTTATTTTGGGTAATGAAGAACTTGTCATTTTTAACTCTTGGGTTCAGGAATTCTTCTATAACTTAAGTGACACAATAAAAGCTTTTTCGATTCTTTTAGTTACTGATTTATGGATCGGATTTCACTCGACACATGGTTGGGAACTAATGATTGGTTCAATCTACAATGATTTTGGATTGGCTCATAACGACCAAATTATATCTGGTCTTGTTTCTACTTTTCCAGTTATTCTAGATACAATTGTGAAATATTGTATCTTCCGCTTTTTAAATCGCATATCTCCTTCGCTTGTAGTCATTTATCATTCAATGAATGAATGAAGAACTTATTTGATCTCCTGATATCAATCAAAATTTTGATTCGCGTATAAAGAAAGCATTTTCCATTTGACTTTTTCTTTATACTTCTACCTCTTCAAGGTATTCGTACTATTTCAGTAGAATTATTTCAGTACAATGGCAGACTTGTGGATAGGGAACTATACTAGCTACCTATCTAATTTATTGTAGAAATTCCTGGATCAACGATTGGATCATGCAAAATAGAAATACTTTTTCCTGGGTAAAGGAACGGATCACTCGATCTATTTCTGTATCGATCATGATATATGTAATAACTCGAACATCTATTTCAAATGCGTATCCCATTTTTGCGCAGCAAGGTTATGAAAATCCACGAGAAGCAACTGGGCGAATTGTATGTGCCAATTGCCATTTAGCTAATAAGCCTGTGGATATTGAAGTTCCGCAAGCTGTACTTCCTGATACTGTATTTGAAGCAGTTGTTCGAATTCCTTATGATAAGCAACTGAAACAAGTTCTTGCTAATGGTAAAAAAGGGTCTTTGAATGTGGGGGCTGTTCTTATTTTACCCGAGGGGTTCGAATTAGCCCCCCCCGATCGTATTTCTCCCGAGGTGAAAGAAAAGATAGGAAATCTGTCTTTGATCCACTTTTAGTGACAGCCACAGAGCATACGATAAGCAGATATATATACTCTAAGTCAGGCTCTGATACCAGTTGTTAGGATTCACCCCAATAATAACGCCTCGAACGGAGACTTAATCACAAAATAAAGGCACAAAATTCAACACAGAGTACTCACAGATATACGTGGTTCACTCCTTCGGCAGCCACAGAGCATACGATAAGCAGATATATATACTCTAAGTCAGGCTCTGATACCAGTTGTTAGGATTCACCCCAATAATAACGCCTCGAACGGAGACTTAATCACAAAATAAAGGCACAAAATTCAACACAGAGTACTCACAGATATACGTGGTTCACTCCTTCGGAGCTACTCCACGGTGCAACGACGACGCCAAATTCTTTTATATCCCAAAAGAATTGATCCAAGAGAACACCCTCTCTTGATCAGATACACTCCAAGAATTCTCACAAACTCTCTCTTTGTTTTCTCTTACTCTTCTATAAGAGGAGTTGTTTCTGGGATGAGATTTCCTTAAGAGTTTAGGGCCCTATTTATAGTGTTTGAGAAAACACTATGCACAAATATAATATTATATGTGGGACCCGCCACTAATAATAAAATATTTGTGGGACCCACATCCTTTATAAATTCTCAACAATGTCTGCCACCGAATTTGATTTTTCTTCTTGTGGGGCCCGCCTTTGTGGGCCCCACTTTTGTTTTCATGTTCGCTGGGTCAAAAAGGTTAGGCGCCTGACAGGGCTGTTCCACTTTGCTCATCAATTCAGGCGGAGATCAGCCAGAATAATGGAGAACAAGAAAGAAATACGACAGAAACATGGATGGTATTAATGAAGCGTGAGAACAGAGAAGAAACAAGGGATGTCCACCAAAGAAGGATCATATACAGTTTCAGCGATGAAAATAAGGAAACGGGTAAACTTCATAAACATGTTCGGCACAAAAATACCGTGCACTAGTTTCATTAGTGGAAAGTACCGCAAACTTTCAAACTAGCATACCATCTACAATTGAGGTTAGTAAAAGTTTTTTCTAGTCAATTTGGGGTTTATCCTTTATGAACACGTCAAGTTTGTTTATTGTTTATGTATGGTTGTCGATGATAATGCAAATGATGGAAGTGAGTAAGAAATACAACTGAAACATGCAAGTAACAAGATAATAGAATATTTTAGCAACGGAGGGGGGAAAATCATGCAACACAGATGGTGCCCGAAGATCTTTCGTTGGATCTTCTCAAGAGATTGACCAGGTTCTCCTCAATTATGCTCAGATGGTTGTTGAAATTATAAATATTTTTGTAAGAAAACAATGTTGAAAGTGTAGAAAACTGCAAATTTGTTGTCATAGTTCTGAGAGTCCTGTAAGATGCTTTAATTCTTTTCTCCCCCCATCTCTTCCATAATGCAACATTAATCGTACATGACCATCAAAATTCCGAAGCGCGTGACTGTCATCTTGTTGTTGATCTAGAGACAGGACTTATCCATCAAAAACCAACAATTAAGCACCTTTATGTTTATGGGGGGCATGTTGGAAATCCACAACAAATTTTCTAGGTACCACGAAAGGAATTGCTTCATTATCTTGGTCGTTGATAATATCAAGTCCTCCTTTATGCATGCTTAGGACATAGATTAGACATAGTTGCCGATTATTGCCTTCTTTCTATCTGGTGAACTTAGACAAAATGCCACTATACATTTATCATAACTGCCACTATACATTTATTGACATCGTTTCGTGCCTAAATCTTAACAGCCGATAATAAGTCGATAATATATAGTATAGAGGAAGCTTGAAATTAAATATATCGTTACTATATATATGATGCTGATAGAGAAAGCTAATTAAATAATTTTAGACCTTTCATCAGAATAATACTTTTTCATACAGCTAATTCTAAAGCTTTAAACAATCAAACACATTTTAAGAAAATGGGCATAAATTTATTTATAGTTTTGTGTGAATGACGAAAATATGTATGGAGATGTGCAGGAGGGCCGGAAAATTAGAGAAGACATGCAGCACAAATTCCTCAAAGTTACAGTCGCGATGTTAGAAATTCACGTATAAGTATAGTCCACAACTGAAAGAATGATAGAAAAGTAAAATTGGGTGTGATTTCTAATAGGTAAAGTTTTTGAATTAATTTGACTATCAAGCTATGTTTAAGAAATATCTTAGTCCCTAACCGCTTATACAAGTCACAGTGATGACTTAGAAATAAGAGGATTAATTCCTAATTGATTAATGAACTATTTACTGTGTTAGAAACTGTATTTGACCAACTTAGTTGTGCAGCTTTATATTATAGCTTTAAAATATGAGGTTTGAACTTTACCTGCTCCCATTTTTTTAGGATTAGTACTTTTCATGAACTCAGTCAGTGGTCATATTTCCTTGGGCTGGAAGGAACTCAGTTGAAATGGCAATTCTCTCTAACATTCATACATCATTCAACAGTTGACTTCATTATCTTAACGCTAACTCTGCATCAAGATCAGTCTTCTGTAATTATATAAGCCCATACAGAAATCCCAGGAAACCTCGCTGAACAAATCTAAACAGCATCGTAAACACTAGAATTGTCATACAAAAGAGAGAAGATGGTAGCGATTGAAGTCCCAAAAGAGTATGGCTACGTCATATTTGTGCTCATATTCTACGCTTTCTTCGACTTCTGGATGGGCTCTCAAGTTCTCAAAGCAAGGAGGAAGTACTCCCTTAATCATATTTCATAATCTTTTTCATCTTTATTTACGCTAGAAATCTAAACTTTATGTGAACTAATCTCAGGTATAAGGTGTTTCATCCGACTGTACACGCTATAGAGTCTGAGAACAAGGATGCCAAGCTCTTTAACTGTGTCCAGGTTTGCTAACTCGTTCTGTTTAATCTTCCACATGCTTTCAAATTGCTCATCTGTACTACTTTGAGGCAGCGAGGGCACCAGAATTCTCAGGAGATGATGCCAATTTTCTTCGCACTTCTGCTCGTAGGTGGGCTTCAGTATCCTACGATGTGTGCTGGATTTGGCCTAGATTACATCATGGGGCGCTTCTTCTACTTCAAAGGCTACTCTACTGGTGCTCCAGAGAACCGATTTAAGATTTGGTAAAACTGTTACTTTGCTAGAGAAAGTGATATATATATACGTGTTCAGTTCTGGATATATACTAACACTAGTTATGTGATTCTGCTTTCAGTGGTCTGAAGATTGTGACAACGATGGTGTTCGCATCTCTGGTGGCGCTTGTGATATCAACAGCTTCACTTGGGATCCATTTGCTCTGTTGGAATGATTATAATTAGCGTGTTGTTTCCCATTAAAGTGTTGGATAGCAGGTTCCTAATATGTTTCCTAATTTGTTTTGTTAACAGGTTATTGAAATTCCTAATCTGTTTTGGTAACAGATTATTAGGATTCCAAATCTGTTTTGTTTTTTGTTTTAGAATTCCTAGTATGTTTATGATTTTATGATTTCTATATATATGGAACAATTGGAAGAGAGAATTAAGAAAAAAATTGAGGATATTTGCAGCACAGAAAAGATGTATTTTCTAAGCTATTGGTTAGAGTTTTGTTTGGAGAGAATTGAAGATTTATTGGTGAGATTAATTGGTGAGTTTGAGTGATTTGTAATCTCAGTTTGTACTCTTCTTCTCTATTAGTGAAAAACCCTATCCCCTTCTTGCCCCGTGGACGTAGTCAACTTGTCAAACCACGTTAAAATTGGTTGTTTATGTTTGTGGTATTGATTTGGTTCGTTTGGCCTTCTCTCGACGTTCGTTTGATTTGATTTCTCGTAGCACGTTGATTTGGTTGTTTGGCTTCCGCAGCTCTCAACAGAGGAAATGGTGACCGATATGTGGTAATGCTGTAGTACGTTGTTCTAACACTCGACACAATAATATTACCAACTACAAGCCAACTTATAACCTGGAAGAAGTTGAAAAACACCAATCACAAAACTAAGAGATGTAAGTTACAACTCCAAAACAATAATCAATAAGCAAATTTCATTTAATTAACTATTTTAACATTAACTTTGCACCACCGAAGGGTGGACACAGGTGGTCAGGTGCCTTTGGCTTTGGGGCGTGAGACCACTGATGGCCTGTGTTTGAATCCTTGCCCGTATTCACCTGTATGCATCAGGGATACAAAGGTGGGGAGCACAGACCAGAGTTTAACTTGGTCAGTTCACTCGGGCCGCTGTGTGTTCCTAGGTTTGAGTCCCCTTCAGTCTTCCTCGTGTTGAAGGGATGTGCCCCTGGTGTTAAGGTGAAGCCCCACATGGTTGAAGGGAAGTGTGGGTGGGTTGTTTATTATTATTATTATTATTATTATTATTATTTTTATTATTATTATTTTTTTTTTGGGGGGGGGGGGTCAAACTATGGCTGCTGGTCAGTTCAACACGTAGTGCATTGATCAGGATCCGTCGCAAAAAAAGAAAGCTTAACTTTGCCTTCACTTATTTACCTCTACTTTCATTTGAAAACCATTGTAAATCCTCATTCTTCAACTTTTCGTCTAGATTTTGGGCGATGGGGATGTGGCCATCAAGTTGAACGTGAAGGCACGAGCCTTTTCATCAGCAGCAAAAGAGAACCTTGAGGCGGCTGGTTGCACTCTAACTATACTGCCTGGTCGTAAGAAGTGGGTGAAACCTTCAGTTGCAAAGAACGTTGCTCGTGCTGACGAGTACTTCGCAAAGAAAAGAGCTACAGCTGATGCTGGTTCAAGTTCTGCATGAGCCGTTCCACATTATTTTCGTAGAGATTTCATTTTTGTCTCTAAAAAGTGACACGGAAATGGAAATGTTGGAATTGGGAACTATTCTTCTCTGTAATTATATTCTCGTGTTTTAGTTCAAATTTCTGTCTGCATCATGTTTTCTCCAATGTGAAATTTTGAGTACAACCTGCTGTCAGTAAATGATCAAACTTGTAGTGTAAGGTAGGCAACTGCAGAAAGAAATAGTGGACTAAATGGATCTGGCTTTTATTTGCCTGTAAGATAATCTTGGTTTGTAGCCAAGCAGAACATAGTTTTTTCTATATTTTTTCTTTTCTTTTTTGTTTTGAACCTTATGTAGGCGAGTTAACCACTTGTTAGCTTCCCAAAAATACAACCACCCATCGTTGTGAGGTGTGGGTGTGGGGGGTGTAGGTCTCTCTCTCTCCCACCCTCTCTCTCTCTCTCTCTCTCTATATAATAATATATATATATATATATATATATATATATATATATATATATATTATATATATATATATATAAGGAAATGATAGGTATTGAGATGGCTGTTCATTTTGTTTTACCGAGCCTACCAAACATAAAATAATAAGATCCAACATATTTTGATGTGACTATCAAACTAGGCTTTTACCACATGGCTATCTTTTGATTATTTTATTTAGCAAAATGAGCCGTTACATCATATTCATTAGTTCATATGTATATATCATGATGAGGCTATAGGAGTATAGCATATAGCATAGCAGTCTTCATAAACTACCTCGGGCGTGGGGGCGGGCGTGGGGGGGGTAAGGGGGGTGGGTGGGGGCGGTCAGTTTGAAAACTGTAAGCATTTAAGCTCGCTAGGTGGGAAACTATAGGTCATTTAAGTGCAATTAAGCCCAAGTTGAAACTTCTCAATGCTCATCATCAAGCTCCTGATATATTCCTCAGAAAAACAATACCGATGTGTTTAGTTTTGATCTCATGACATTTACAGTAAATAAAGTATACAGAATTAGAAAGTTAAACTTTATTAATCTTTCCATTATCAAATTAAGAACACTAATTAAACTGGACAAAGGCCCAGGGCCTCTAAGGCAACTATCTACCTAATTAGTACAACAAACATATGTTCGAACGCTGCAGTACCGCAGAGCTAAGAAAAACACATGTTCAAACACATGAAGATCGAAGAGCAGCGGTCGCTATTCTTCTCCTTCAACTATAAACACAAGTCCAATCAACAACTTAAAACGACTTCCTTCCGAATTATCATCGACCATCACCAAAGCATTCGTCGATCGATCATACGTAAGGAAACGCGGCAGAACCGCCGCCACCAGCATTATTGAAGGACGCCCGTTTAACGAACCTCCCCTTCATCCGGGGCCGCTTCTCAGCGTTCAGCTTCCTGACCTCGTACCTGATCTTCTTCGAGAATAGCCTCGTCCTCCTCTTCTCTCTGTACCTCGAGACCCTCGCCTCTCTCCCTCCGTCGCTATTTCCGACTCGTCCGTAGAGCCCTCCTACTTCTGTTCCTCCGTACACATTAGGAATCTGTGCGATGAGGAGTCAGATCAGACTTACACAGTTCTCCGTGGCGTATTGATTTAATTATGAATTAACTACAGTTCAGTACCTTATAGTATTGGTATAATCACATGGGTGATCCTAATATAGTCCGCCTATCTGTACGGTTAACCCTTGAGATTACTGATTATAAATACAAGGTCATCCTATATATAGAATCTCACGGCAGGTTAATTAACCTTCAAGGTCGCCTGTGCAATTATAGCCAATAATCTCAAGTTAACTGTCGGGGATGCAAATTAAGACTCTTAGGATCACCAGCATACCGTGCTTCATGCTACCGGATTGTTTTTAATCCTATATATATTTACACACAACCAAGTATGGTAAGCAAAACATATATACCGTGAAATCTGGCCAGCAATCGTCGGGATTAAACTGCGGGCGCTCTCCATCAGTCCACGGGGTACAACCCCGGCACGACCACGCGTCAATAACTGCATCATAATCCAGCCTCAGGCCCACCTTCGTCATCAGCCCACCCTGCTCCTCCACGGCCCCCGCCTTCTGCTCATCTGCTTCTTCTCCCGTTGATCCGCAGTCGAAGTTGAAATCCAGCGATTCTCGCGATAACTCCATCTCCATATCCACAAGGAAATTTCCACAGGACGAATCAACGGCGTCAGTGATCTCCACCTTCACTTGGTTCTTATCGTCGTCATCATCCTTAGTTTCGAGCAGTCCTAGCCCATCGATGCAGAAGGCATCGTTGTCGAGATCTTGACCTAGCAAGTTCTCAACGTTTGCGGAGAACTCCGCCAACTCGAGCTCCGATTGATAGAGTTCATTAAATACGGGTGGAATTTGATTAACACTCGCCGCCTCCAACTTCACCTCTTCAGTGGCCGGAGAACAGAATTCTTCAAGAACCGGATCAAATATCGGCACGCGGTATATCAACTGCTCCTCCTCCTCCTCCTCCTCATACTCAAAATTCTCCGCTTCAAGATCCGGCACCAAAGAGCCACCGGCCGCTTGCGACACCGCCTCGGCCGAAGCCTTGGCATGTTCGGCGCTGCGAGCTTGCGCTGTGTGCCAGGCGGCACAGCCAGATTAAGATCCGTAGGAGGCGACGGGACTGGACGATGACGCAGTCTTGAGGCGGACTCGCTCGTGCCGACGGCGAGGGGGTTCGCCGCGTGCACCACGAGTCGCACCCCTGGCACAGGAAGCGTCGTCCGCCAGCGCAGTACCACGCGCGTGCGCCTGCGCACGCACCTGTCGCACGCGCGCGCGGTCTTGCCGCCCACGGCGTTGGCGCGCTGCGGACTTCTCCACTTGCATTAGTCTTCAGCAGCCCGCACGGTATTGAGCTTGGCTTAGCCTTAGATTTCTGTCGGTGAGCTTGCCGCTGTAATGATTTAGACACAGTAACGCTGGGGGGTTGCAATTATGGAGGGAAGTGGGCCTACTAATTTTGCGCTTTTGGGAGACGTGGCGCGGTGCCGTGAGTAGGAGCGTGGATGGAAGGCTGCCCCGAGGAAGAGAGTGGAGCGGATTGGTGGGATAAAAAAGTGATCTGGTTCCCTGTGACGGGATTGGGTACAAGTCACTGAAGTCGGATTTCTTGTGGGGCCCACGGAAAATAGATGAAGAAACGTTTCTATCGCGGGAGTCGTTATCGGTAGGGCCTCGTTAACGCCTCGGTCCACCTAGGGAGTAGTGTGGTCCCCTTAACTACGGCTATTAAGATTGTGTTTGTTGTGAGGATGCGGCGACAGGCGAGACGGCCGAACGACTGAGGAACAGTAGCGGAGTCAGGATTTTTTTGGGGGGTATTTGTGTGTGTTGTGTGTGTCCATCAAATAATGCAACTCATAATTAACTTTTATATAAGTAGGTAAAAAAAAAAAAGAACCTAAAATAGAAGTTTTACAAAAAGATGTGCACTCAGCACACTTCAACTTTTTGAAGTCTCTTTTTACAAATATAACAATTGTGATTGGTTTTCTTTAAGAACAAACTATACATCATAATCTTTTTGGAGACTTGGCAATACTCTAGAAATCATATTATTAAACTTATTTTAAGGAATAA